TGAGTGCAGACAACACTTTCAAGACCTATGGTTGTGAAAGGAAATAGGAGTAACTATGGCTTGAGTAGTTTTGTGAGATCAAGAAAAAATTTTGATTGTATGTTTTGTACATCATAAGTTTGGTGAATTCTTTAACATGCTTAAATTCCAGTGGGAAGAAATCATACTGCCCTTTTAAAATTCCATTTCCCGGAACTTGAGGCTTTATGTTGTTGGGCCACAATAAAGATAAAATTATAGTGTAGGATCCTAACACCTGAGAGACGTTTAGATTGGAAAGAGATTATAAAGTTTATTTAGTCTGAAGACATAAATATTAGACAATAATAGAAATAATAATGTCAGACTTTTATTTTATAGGAAACACTATAAAGATATAATCTCTATTTCCTAAAATTTTAAAGTCCCATTTGATAAACTAATAAGGTTGGATAATAAATCATAGTTTGAGAATCCTAAGTGTTCTGATGTGGAAACTCCTTTTTAAATCCTGAGTCAAAGGTCGAGGTCAAAGAGTTCTACGCAAACCTGATATCAAGAAATGATTTATGAGAAAATGTGCAAGCACTGTGACAGTGATATTATAGGGAGAAAATCAAGTCAAACCAACATAACCATTTTTCTGACAGATCAATCATCCTTCAAGAAAAATAACTAGCTTTTAGATATAATATGGAGAAACTCAAGAATTAGAACTTTAAGGAAAAAAGTTAGGAGTGAATGAGAACTCTGGAAAAGAAGTAGTTTGGAGCCTAATTTCTAGCTCTCTATTCTTTTGATTCATCCTTGTAAATTACTTTCAAGGTCTTCAGAAAAGGCCCACCTCTGTAGCACAATCAAGATTTGTTAATATACCTTGATTACAGAAAAATAGTTAATGCTACCTTAAGAGAAATTAGCTTTAAATAAACCTTGTCAAATTCTATGTCCTGTTTGATTTGCTATGTGAGGTCTCACCAAACTCTAAAACTGTATTACTCTATTTCTTTCACTATTCTTCTAATATTGTGTCCACCACAACTTGAGTGACTTGAAGATAAATTACTACACTAAATTCTTTTCTTGCTAACATTTCCCAGGATATGAAAATCTTAGTGAAGTATAGAACTTTCTGCCCTAAGTACGTTTGACTTATAAGAAATTAACCTAAGGATCTGAATGTAACCTTTATCCCAAGCTCTCTTTAAGTCAATCTGGAGCCAATGTACAGGGCAGTCTCTAGTCTCTTGACCAGACATCAGGATCTGAGTGGGGCAGTTTTGATCTCTTTGGAAACTTGTGCTCTTGGCTTGAATCTCCATAGTTACCTGTAACACAATAATGGTATGTTCAATCTAGATTTAAAAGTCCATCCTGCAGGGTATTTTGTGACTTTTCTGATCAATGTGTTCATGTTTAGAAGAATATTCTTGCCACATATGCCCGAGCCTGAATTCCTAAAATATACACTGGGAAATGACCATATTCTGGGGTTATAATTTGCAAATTTGTGAAAGGCAAACATATGGTACAGCAAAATTTATATTAATTTTAAATATTTAAAGGCAAACTGGCAAAGTCTGAAGAAAATAACCATATTGTGTAGACAAATATTGTAGATAACAGGGAACACACAGGATTTTAATTTTAATGAATTTAGATTTGTAAACTTGTCTGCAGTTCTTTTGGATTTTCTATGTGCACAAACATGTCTTCTGGAAATAATAGCAGTTATACATTTTTTTTGGTTCAGCTCTAATGGGCTTTATTTTTTTTTCCTTGTTTGCATTACATTGGAATGATCTTCTAGAAAAATGTTGAATAGAGGTGATACTAACGAATTTCATTTAAAGAAGAAAGGTTTCCATTAAATAGGTCTTCTGTATGAATGAATTAGGTGCTTTATACACTTAAAATGTGTTCCTTAATTAAGTTCAACTTACTTGTGATACATTGTCCACTATATATGTGATACATTTATTTTTTATATTTTCTTTTTCTTTCTTTCTCTCTCTCTCTCTCTCTTTTTTTTTTTTTTTTGAGAAAGGAGCAGGAGAAACAGAGGGAGAGGGAGAGAGAGAATCTTAAGCAGGCTCCATACCTAGTGTGAAGCCTAATGCAGGACTCATCACCCTGAGATCATGACCTGAGCTGAAATCAAGAGTCTGATGCTTAGCCAACTCAGCCACCCAGGCACCCTGTATATACATGTTTGTTTTTTTTTTACATACAGTTTTGTATTTAGTTGCTAGTATTTTGCTTAGGATATTTGCAAATATGTTTAGAGGAAAGAATAGCCATTAATTTTCTTTATTTGCAACATCCTTTTCAAGTTTTGTTTCCATGTTATATTTGCCTGATTAAATGAGTTAGAAGAAAGGTTCTCCTTTTCTATTCTTTGGCGCTTTTTAAGAAAGTCTTTTTCTGGGATACCTGGGTGGCTCAGTGGTTGAGCATCTGCCTTTGGCTCAGGGCATGATCCCGGAGTTCCAGGATCAAGTCCCACATTGGGCTCCCTGCAGGAAGCCTGCTTCTCCCCCTGCCTATGTCTCTGCCTCTCTCTGTGTCTCTCATGAATAAAGAAATAAAATCTTAAAAAAAAAGAAAGTCTTTTGCTTATATTGTTTTTCCTTTTCCCCACCCCTAGTTTTGCATTGGTTTTACTATCATGTATAGTGGTGGATACTGAATCTTGAATCTTTGTCTTGATGCCTTTAAGACTATTTTGAAAACTCTTGGCCATTATATCTTCAGATGGCTTTTGCCCTATCATGTCTCTCTTCTGCTTTTAACACTATAATTATATGAATTGTTTGTTTCATTTGTTTCAGAAACTATTTTTTATCTTTTTTTTTTAAGATTTTATTTATTTATTCATGAGAGACACTGAGGGGGGGCGGGGGCAGAGACATAGGCAGAGGGAGAAGCAGGCTCCATGCTGGGAGCCCGATGTGGTACTCGATTCTGGGTCTCCAGAATCACACCCTGGGCCGAAGGCAGGCAGGCACTAAACTGCTAAGCCACCCAGGTGTCCCTTTTTTATCTTTTTATCTCAATGTTTTAGTTTCAATATTTTCTATTTATTTTTCAGCTTATATTTTCTTCACCTGCATCCAATCTGCAAGTTCAAGTCCTCTATCAAAACCTTAGCTTAAATTATTATATTTCCACTTGATTTTACATATAACCTAATGTTCTTGAAAGTCTCCAGCTTGTTATCTATATTAAAATACATTAATTAGGGTTATTTTCACATCTATAACTAACTGTGATCCTTCTGTTCAAAGATATACCTGTAGTACCTCAGAGCCTGTTTCTATTGTCTGTTTTTCCCTCTCGATAGAGATTATTTATAGGCCTTCTTCTTCTTAATGTCAAGCACCATATACATGCACAAGAAATCAGAGTTTCTATGAGGCTTTTCTAAAGGGGTTTATTTTGACTGTCAACATTTAGATTAGCAGATCACCTTAATGCACTCAGAGACTTCATTCAATCTAGGTTTCCATCCTTGTATTATCTTGTCTTCTTGTCTATTTCTATTTCCCTTGACTCCTAGGATAAAGCCCTTTAGGGAGTTTAGCTGAGAGCTTGTGTATTTGCCAGAGTCTCTCATCCTTGCTGGTCCTTGGATTCAAATTTTTATTTTTCAAACTCTATTTAACTTCTCAATCTCTAATAAGCCATTTTCTTCTTGTCTAGCAGTGCTTAGGAATCACAAATACCTCTGAGGAAAAGTGAATCACAATGACAGTCTTTCCCAAACTTTCCTCCTTTATGGATCCTCTTTTATCTCTCAATTTCTTGCTACCTTTGGAGCATATACTTCCAATATCCATCTTTTCCTCCAAGGCCCATGATACTGTTGGCTGCTGCATTGTGCTGAGTTTCTAAGATTCTCACTCTGTGCTGCTTATAATTAATAAATACCATCAGAGGGAATGAAAAAGCAGTGGAGAATTTTGAGCTGACTTCCATGACTTTTTCTTTATTCTAAATTCTTGGTCCTTCAAGTTCTGGTTGTCTTAATGGCTATTTTTAAATTCATTTAGTTATTTTGATTTTATAGGCACCATTTTTTTTTCTGGCATTCTCAATGAGGGGTTCAGTCAGTTACAAGTTATTGCCTTATAATTAGAAACAGAAGTCTCCATACTTTCTGTTTTGAAATAAACTATTTCATCGTTATTGTTATATATCTAATTCATTTTCATTTTTAAGTTGTTATAAGCTTTAATTAGCACAGCATCAGAAAACTTGATCAGGTTTTCTGGGCCTATCATGCATATAGTGAGAGTCTTCTCCTTAATATGGAGTATGGTATTTTAAAGTTTTCTTTGTGAAACTGTTTTTTATATTAATAGATCCAGTTGCCAAACTTAAGTATCATGAATTTTTCAAAATTTTAAAGTTTATCACATATACACTCATAGATATGGTTAAATATTTGTTAGTACTGAGCTACTACATTTTGTATATATTTTTTAAACAACTGGGTATAGACTATGAAACTCAACAGTTTACTTTCAGATTTATTGTCAGTCTTTTTTACAAACCATGCTTTATAATTTCTCATAATGAAAATCACCTACTTCTGTAAAAGAACATTTACTATAACCTCATAGGAATTGTAATTTAGAATACTATAATTAGGTGATCTACCTCAATTTCAAATGGATTAAATTAACATTTTATTAGTAATCAATTTTCAAATAAGTATGTTAGTAATTTACTATTTCTATTACTTTTTCAGGTTTTTTTTAACTTAATGTCCTAATAAATATAGATAACCTACCTTTTAAATCATTGTAAAGCTAGAGAAAAAGATAATTAAGAATTCATTTATTGCTTCTTAGAGCAAATTATGTCACCCAAAATAGATTTTTCTGACTTCTATTAATGATGATTAACATAAGGAGAAATGCATTGATTTTCCCTTTAAAATTGTAAAGCTCTGTGTGTTGTTTTAGACGAGTTATAGCACTTTATAAACACCACCTTTTTTTGTGTGTGATTTGTAGGCTGACAGCAACTAGCCATTCATTGACACCTCAAAGTGATATGGATTCCAGTAGCTCTGAAGAATTCTATCAGGCTGTTCACCATGCTGAGCAAACATTCAGAAAAATGGAAAGTTACTTGAAACAACAGCAACTCTGTGATGTTATTTTGATTGTTGGGAACCGAAAGATACCTGCACACAGGTATAGTAACCTGTCTTTATTGAATTCATATGGTTAGAAGGATAGTCTGGTATGTAGGATGCAAAACATTCTATAATTCTATGATTACAGAATTAAGAATCTAGGAATCCTTTTTTTTTTTTTTGGTACAATAAAACTCTATTAAAGGACACCAGGATTTGAATTTCATGTCCTTTTCACATATCATGGAATATATCCATCCTTTGTTTTTCCCACCATTTAAAAATGTAAAATCTGTTCATAGCTTTTGGGCTCTGCAATATGAACCAGGCCAGATTTGGTCCATTGGCCCTAGTTTGCTGATCCCTGTGTAAAAGGACTCAGGATTTCAAACCTTTGATTCATGGAAGAAAGTAAGGGGTTCAAATGTAATTTTAAATATTTTGACTTTGATATTTTGTTACAAATTTCCAGGTATCTTATCATATAATATACATATAATATGTGTGATATTTTATTGTAAAAATATTGTGTTTGTGTGTTTCCATGTGTTTATCCATTAAGTGATTGTTATGCTCTCAAATGTTGTCAGGCTCAGAGATTAGATGGCCAAAAACTACTGCGAATGAAAGTAAGATTTTCCAATAAGAACATCAAGAATAACTCGATATTTCATCTATTAACACTTGTCATCTTTCATAGTGCTATTATTTAAATACAAAAAAAACCTACAAAAACTATGAAGCATACAGGTAAAGTTTGCAGAATTGTAAATCACAATTTAAATGTACTCTACTAAGCTTTGTCAAATAGTCATGGCTAAATCTATGTATAGTAGTTGAGAATACACATTTTTAAGAGAGCTTGAGTTATTTTTTTACTCTTTATTTCCTTTGAGGGGAGAGTTATAATGTCATTTTAAGTAATCTCTTTTGGTAAATAAAGCAAATATAAATACTTCAAAAACAAAACTTCCTCTGGCTAGGGTTGATAATCTATTTTATGTAAATCATAATCTTACTAAGTAGAAATCCATTTTAATTTAGGAGATTGTACTTAAGATTTGAAGTGAGATATACTTTTCTGCCAAAATTAAAATAAATCAGGTTATCATTGGTATATATTATTTGTTTCATGTAGGAAATTCAAAGTATTTCATGTTGACATCTTTATTTTGCATTTATTTATTTATTTTTTAAAGATTTTATTTATTTATTCATGAGAGACACAGAAAGAGAGGCAGAGACATAAGCAGAAGGAGAAGCAGGCTCCTTGCAAGGAGCCCAATGTGGAAATTGATCCCAGACCCCAGGATCACGCCCTAACCCAAAAACAGATGCTCAACCTCTGAGCCACCCAGGCATCCCTATTTTGCATTTATTAATTAAAAAATATATAACATATTAATATTATTCTTAAGGTACAATGTATTTGAAAAAAAGGTACAATGTATTTGAGAGCTAATACACTTTAAATATTCCATACATATTTATGATTGATAGTTCTAAGTTACATAAACTAAATGTAACTTAAAAACTAAAATCCAATTATTTTGCCATATTAATTTCTTATCAGTTTTCTTATGAAAACTCATTAAATTTGATGTTGGTTTTTTACTTGTTTTCCTTTTTTAAATTTTTTAAAAGATTTTATTTTTTTATTCACGAGAGACACAGAAAGAGAGGCAGAGACATAGGCAGAGGGAGAAACAGGCTCCCCACTGAGAGCCTGATGCGGGACTCCATTCCAGGGCCCCTCCATTCCAGTGGCCCTCAGCTCCACACGACCTGAGGCAAAAGCAGATGTTCAACCCCTGAGCCACTCAGGTGTCCCTATTTTTTTAATTTTGAAATTGTAATTCAGAAAAGAATTTTAATTTAATTTTGATGCTTATTATTTTATTTTTAAATAGTTGAATATATAGGCAAATAGCCTTAAACTACCTTGATATATGTTGTTTAATACTATTATGCTAATGAATTGGTAGAAAGGGTAAGTTATCAACATATAAAAATATTTTAATATACATTTCTTTCCTATGTTTAACATAAATTTTATTATTTATATAATATATATACATCTAAGTGCTGACTAATAAAAACATTCCTGAAGAATGAAGCTATATTTCTACTATGATAGTGATATTAAAATGTGAAAGTGAATTTGATATACTAGAAATGCATAGGAGGGAACATTTAACATTGAATAACTAATGTAGGTCATGTAGAGTTCAATATTATCAGCTAACTGAGGCAACAATTCTAATAATATACTATTCATACACATTTTCAAATATTTCTATAACATTGCATTAGTATTAGCAAGAAAGCCATTAACAAATAGTCATTATTTTTGAGATATTCAATGTTGTAATATGTGTAGCAAATATGCAAATTATGCTGAATATCATCTAAATAACATCTAGATAAAAATTCTATTCTAAGAAATACCCTTAATTTGAGAGTGTAACTAAATTTACTTCATTAGCTTATAAATTGGTTAATAGCATATATATGTATATATAGAGAGGGACCCAACTCAAAAGTACATTAGCACATCAGATGTTCATTAATTTTTTTAAAAGAGCAGTGTTTTGCGTAATTTATATAGTTTTATTTTGCCTTTTGTTTGTAGTAATTTAATATTTCTCATTTGAAGCATTTTTAACCAATACTCTGAGCAATTCTCCCATGTTAATTATATTCTACATTGCTTTCTTTGTTACTCTTTTTTATCTAGATTGTTAACATTATTTTCTAAGTAATTTATTTATGCAAGTTATTTTATAATAATCTAGATAACTAAGAAATAAAATAGCTTCTTGGTTTCAATTATTGTAAAACATGAGTAATTACTATTTTTATACATGTTACTCTGAACATTTAAATATTTTATGTAGTTAGCAGATATTATAGCAAGTAATTATTGTCAACTATCTATATTTTCCTTAAATGTGACAAGAAAACTTTTAGCCTAAGGCTATCTGCTAAATTCATGCAAATAAGGATTTATATTTTCCTTATACCATGACTTAAAACTTTAGTATTACCCATTTTATAAATAATTTATAGAGTTATTATTATAAGCTAAACATACATTAACAAATATGTGGGAAAATATGGAGCCCTGGAAAAAGGCAAGTGCTGTTTTTAATGATTGCAGATACATTGCACCTCCTTCTGTACACTTTTACACAATAAAATCATAATTAATGCAAGATTAGCTCTTTGCTTTAAACAGTCATTTTAGCACTAGTAACAAAGGAATGGATTTTGAAGTTATTTTGTTATATTTTGAGTAGCACAGATGAGTATTGCCTTTGGCAAAATATATATGATGTTATGATCATTAGCACTTGAACACGGGACTATTACAATAATTTCAAAAAATGAAAAAAGAAATAGCTTACATTAAGATCTACTGCTCCTTCAGGAAAGACATTGAAAGCTAATCTTATAAGTATTCACTAAATATCCATTTATAAAGTCATGTATATTTAATTCCACATTATTATCTCATCATTCAAAACTTTCAAGGCACTCCCTACTTAAGGTGATAAATTATGATTGTGAAAGGCCTCTCCACAAAACCCTTTGTTTTTGTTCTGGTTATATTGTATATATGTTTTTGGCCTGATATAAGTCACAACTATCGATGTATTTATGAAATTCCATGTTTATATAGATACAATAGGTTATTGCTAAGCATATTTTTAAGTAAGTTAGCTTTAAAAAACTAATAATACTTAATATGATACACTAATAGATTTTTTGGCATGGGAAATAATCAAAATTCTGAATTCATCTGTGCTGTAAGTTTTCAGAGAAATTCTAAAATAAATATAAACTTTTCATAAATGGCCCAGAACAATTGATTAGTGACACGTGAAACAAAAAACTGAATATAAATCCTTGAGTACTAAATATAGAGAGTTTCTTTCTAGGTAGTCTGCCTGTAATCCCGGATGTTAGCTGCTAAAAATTAGACTGACAAGATCAATATTAATAACTGGACAGCCAAATTATCAATCCTAGAATTAAAGTATATTCAGGGGCTACTTTGTTACAATGTACAGGTATATAATGAAATATCATTTAGCCTATGAAAGCCATTATTAGGAGTAAGTGCATTAGATGGAAATAAATGAGAAAATATTAAATAGCTAACAACCTCTGAGTTGGAAATAATATAATTTATAATTTTTTGTGCATAGTAACAGTGTGGAAGGATATACAACATACTGTCAATAAAGCCTTTTCCTGAGGAGTGGGAGTAGACAAGATAAAGGAGGGGTTAGCTTTTTTTTTTAATGTCCAAACATATATTCTTTGAACTCTTTAGAATGAGCATGCAGTAATTCATGATCGAATAAAGACTTAAACAAAAAATAAAATGATATCTGATGAAGACAGAAAGTATCATGCTCTATAGACCAAAACCCTGGAAATTTCATTTAACATCAGATTCTGTTTTCAATTTTGTCTATGCTTGATGACAGATTTAGTTATTTCAATAATATATTTATCAAGAGTTTATATTTTATTTTTTCAATATTATATTTGTTATATATTACATATATGATTTTACTGTTTTTTTTTACTAAGCACTAGTATCATAAAAATAATTGAAGCTAAAAGTGGCAATTGAAATGTATTTAGAAACATTTAAAAAATATTAAATGTAGTAAAAAGAAATTACTTTCATAAGTAACTTAAATTAATACTCAGAAGTAGGCAAGTAGTATTGTCTCTGTACTGATGGGAAGTTTATTTACATAGATTTTCTGTAATGACAGAAGAATAACTCGTTTCTTCTATTTTATTAAGTACAACACCCACCTGAATCTCTCAATCAGCTTGGTAGTTAATAAAGCTTTGAACCAACTTCAAGATAAAAAAAAAAAATGTTTCTACTGCCTGCTGGTTTCAGTTGCCCCAAGTAATACCCACAACCCCAGGCAGTGCCATGGTACCAGGCTCCCAGCAGGCTCCCATGGACTCAGGCTTCCAGCACATCTCAGTGTCAGCCTCCTCCCATGGTTCAAGCTCCTAATGACTCTG